AGGCCCGCCTGGGCCGCGGGAGAGCGGGCGGCTGGGCGGCGGCGAGGGGAGGGCGTCTCGCTTTGCTTCGCTTCCCCACCGCCGCCCCCCCGGGGGCCGTGCCGCGGTGTCCCGCCCTGGTGACCCGGTACTGGTTGAGCTCCCGCTGGGGTGGGGGGGCAGCTTTGCCGTGGAAGCGATCGGTGGCGTGCAAATCGGTTCTGGTAGCGCCGCGCCGTCGGTGCGGTTTGAAATCTCTCTTTTCTGCCTAGTTACTCTTGCAGGCGTGACCCCTGACGTCATTGCACCTGTAATAAGTGGTTACAGCCCTGTACGGCAAGGTGTTCGATAGCAGCCGTTATGTCAGGCGTCTGTGCGTTTTGTCACGTAAAGCGAGAGCAGGGCGTGCGTAGAACGGGCCTGCTCCGCTGTGCTTTGTGAGGGTGTGCGCCCAAAAAAGCGGGGAAACTGGGAATTTCACAGCAGAGATGGGGAGTGCGAGACCGGGGAGTCCAAACAAGGCATGGGGATCATGGCCTTGACCACAGGTGCGGGTCACGTTTTGGCCAAGCGCCGATGGGGAGGAGGGGTGGCCTGCCAGCAAAGAACAGAGTTTTGTCTCTGTTTGGGCAGAGTTGTTGCGAGTAAATTATGGGAGAAATACTCACTCTGGCTTACAAGTTTCACTTCAAAGTGGAACAGCTCATTAAAACCAGAGATTGCTGTTTAATAGCTCCGGTCAAAAGAGAACGCGCATTTAGTTTTTAACAATATTGAGAGCCGTATCCGGGGTGTTGCATGTTGTGCCCTTCGTGAAAGGGTTTGAAATAGGAAGCGTGTCCGCACGCGGGGTAACACAGCAGTACTCTTCCGAACTTTACCCACAAAGCAAGATCCATTCACCTAAAGTGCTGCTTGCAGTTGGTCGCAGAAACGCTGAGTATGTGCCCAGGCTCCTTCGATTCTGCAAATGCATAACGCAGATTCACTGGGACTTCGTGTACTTTAGATCCGTGCCCCGGTGGAGGGGCTGAACTCGGTTGCCCCTGGGGATGGGCCACACCGTATGGGACTTTAGAAGACTGCTTAGGTTTACCAGCTGTGGACTAGGAGCAGTAAAAATGGTAATCTGCCTGCTGACTTGTCCCTTGGTAATTTACGTCTTGAGTATCCAGTTTGTTCGACTTGGTGGCTGATCATTAACCAGTAAACCTTGCAGGGAAACTCCTTTTTTTTTTTTTTTTTTTTTGCCACATTTTAGCAGTAAGGAGGCTTGATATGTTAAATACTGTCTCTCGAGATCTGACTTCACCTCTTTCAAGGCCGTGCTTTTATTGCTAATAGAATATGCTACTTTTATGTCGCATTAAGCAACTTCAAAATAAAAACACAATACCAGTAAATCACTTGCTGTAAAACAAACCTGCCATAATCCACCCTAGTCCAGCACAAGTTACCTCGGTGTAGGACTACAGAACAACACTATAGTGTAGTTGATGTATGGCAAGCTGCCTAGAAACAAAAAGCTCATTTTTCTGCGTGTGAGCGCAGCAAACCCTCAGATGACAGAAGCAGAATATACTTCTGAGTTAAGTTTTGAAAACACAAGCAGAGTTATCCTGGTGACTAGCACTCAGGTTGGCCACAGCCTCTACAACCATACTCTTCAGAGACTTCATCATTTAAGCAAAAACTTAGGTTTTTAGTGAACAAAAGCATGAAGGGAATTCTAATAGATAGTGCTGTGTATTAGCTGAATGAAAATGCTGGTTGTATCTGTAATGACGAACTAATACCGTTTCGTTACTTCATTATTACATTGATGCAAGCAGACGTGCTGGCTTACAGTGGAAGGATGAAAGTAGAAGGGGAATTCTGAAGCATGTTTGTGATGCTTTCCTTTACAATGATACAGTGATTTTTTTATTTTTTTTTTTAACTCCTGTAGGGCTTTCAGTGTGCCAGTAGTCTAATACATATCTCAAGCCTGAGTGTGAAACGAGGAAATGCCCAGTCATCTTCTGTTGTAGGACATAATTTTCCTTAGAAAAGCCAGGCAACCTAACAGCAGTTGTCTGAATAGCTGAATACTCCCTGCCTTTCCTACAGCTGGGTGCTTAACATGTCTGCATAGATAGGCCTGTGATTCATCAGTGGAGCTGGGCACTTCTGATGGGAACACTCAGTCTGCATTTAAGTATCCTGGAAGAGGAGGTCCCTGGTCAAGGTTCTCGTAGTAGTAGTAGGAGGAGGAGAAGATCTGGAGACCGTGATAGCAGTTCAGGTGCTTCTTGCACGTTGAAAGGCAGACGTCCAAGGCAATGTGTGTTCTTCATTTTTGCAGCTGACTTCCTGTGGTGTGTGATGATCTTGGTGGTCTTGTTCTTTTATGGTTCAGGTTATTAGTGGTCATAGCAGTTCCTCTGTCCAGCTGCAAACAAAAACAAATTAGATGAGAGAAAGTGCTGTATTTAGATCTCATCTATTATAATGACTTCTCAGCTATAACAAAAGGGAAGAATAGTCATAAAATAGATAAAACAATATTTCACTTCTACTATTACAGCAGTTTTTAAAATGTCCATCTTGTGCAACTTACTGTGGGTTTTTTTAAGATGGCGATCTATATCTGTCTCTCCTCTCAGTACAGCATACCACCTCGTGGAGATTTTTATCATAACCAATGATTTTAAAAGCTCCGTGGAACAGTGTGAAAGCTCTGAGCCCTGAGGAGATAAAAACCCGTTGTAACCAGAAGCTGTAAAAATGCACCAAATACTGTGTGTAATGTTTATTCCTGATTCCTGTGAAATCATTTAAGTTCATTTCACTAAATATTTAAAAAATTAAGAGCTTTAAATTTTACCCCTAGTCTTTGTACTCCCTTCATTTGTAGATTGAACGTGGTTTCCTTCTCGTATTTAAGATCTTTTGAGAACTTCTGATAGAACCTTCTGCACAGAATTGCTGTTACATGCACTAATTTAAGCTTGTTTTTAATAACTTTGTTAAGGAAGTACCATCAAAGTATAGGAGTGGCATTACAAGAGAAGCGTATGTGCTGGGTTTCTTTTGGAAAGGATAAAAGAAAGCAGGTGAAGGCAAGCACATTCAAACCTCTCCACATATGCTGCGTGGCTGCTGCCACTTAGAAGAAGGCCGGGCAGGTACCAGGAACAAAATTCTTCAGCACCTTGCTGCTTGGTGTTTTCCAGTCTGTCAAGCTCCCCGCCAAAGCCAGTCTACAGGCAGTCTCCCCTCCAGCAGCCTGACAAGAGCAGGAGCTCTGTTTGTCAGAGCAGGCGCTGTTTACCTTTAGCGCCTGGCCTGCCAGAAGTGCATAGTAGAGATGGATGTCTGCTAACCCAGGTGTGCTGCCCCGAAGGGGAATGCGGCCGTGGACAGAGCCCGCTCGCTGACAGTTATTTTCCATTTGTCCCCGTGGCACGTGCCTGGTGCTCTTGCAGCCTGTGCTGAGCACCATCCTCTGCCTGCTGAAATTCTGTCCTGCAGTTCTGGGCAGTGCTCCTCGCTCTCTTCTAGCCCCCAGATGGCTGTACTTTGCTTTAGTAGAGGCCAATTTTGTTTGATTCAGAAGGGATTGAAGTGAGGCTCTAAATCATCAAAGAGGTCCGTTGTGTAAGGAAATACAGCTTTCAGAAACAGGCTAAATTATTTTTACATGCTGTTTTTCAGACTTAGCGTAGAGTTGCTACTCTGAATCCATTTTCCAGGGTATAAGCTCCCTTTATGTCACCTTTTGGTTTTTTTCCATTGTCTATTGCTGCAGAGTCCTGCAGAAGCATTCTTGGGTAGTGCAGATTTATCTGATCTTGTTTCCCTTGTCTTCTCCTTCAGTGGTGGTGGGAGCTAAGGAGAATCACTTTTTTACTTTTGTGAAGTCACCAAAGCTGCTACCCTTTCTGCGTGCAGTTTAAGTGGGTATATGAGCTTGGATGGAGCACAGGGCTGGCGTTAGGAAGGTACACCATTTTCCCAGTCAGGGGCCCAGAAGGGAGTGATTTGTTAGCATGGCTAAACATGGCTTTTAACAGGCTAAATGGTGAGTTACCCACTTGAGGTGAATCCGCAGCAAAGTTCAAACTGTTGTCCCTCTTGGCCTATGGAAATGGCTTAAAACTGTTTTCCTATGATGTATCACTTGGGGATTATAAGGATTTGTTTGTTTTTCATGGAAATCCAAAAAAGGAGCAGACTTTCAAAAGATGTTTTTACTTGTTTTTTTCACAGTTTGTCTTTTTAAGCTTTCCATTTGTGTATTTCGGTGTGTTCTGTATTTCGGTGCCTAAATGATGGTTAATAGGCACATGCAACTTGCATGAACTCTGATTCTTGAAGTTGCTGTTGTCTCAGACAGCTGAACTGTAGTGTACATCGTGGACTCATCAGGCACTGGTCTGTTATATGCATTGTTGAACTTTCAGTTAAATTCTGCTTCCGTGAACAGTGGTGGCAAATGCCTCTGTAATACGGTAATGCCTCACGGCCTCCGCCAGGATGAAGGAAGGAACTTTGATATTGCACAAGAGATAAACGTCAGTTTAAAGGCTGTCTCATTTTTACATCTCTGAAATGTCCCATTCTCCAGTTGATTAATTTAATTTTTGCTGTTGGGCAATGCATTGCTGAGGCTCAATGAACAGGTGGGACACCTACATATATAAAAAAATACTAAGTCCTTCTGTATACACTTTAAAAATAGATTTTATTTAATATATGGCTGCTTGAAACTTGTATTTCATGAGTACTTTCCGTAGGTAGTATTGTTCAGGAGCATTTGTATAGTGAACAAGACAGTCTAGTTTCAAGCCAGTATAGAAATCTTTCTCAGTTTTCATGTGTCTGACCCTGCTGAGATTTGTGAAAGATGTGCAGTGTGGTGGTTTTGACTTGGGGAAGTGAATGTACGAAACGAGACAAGTTACACTTGTAGATGCAAGCAAGCATTTTCTGGTTTGATGGATGCTTTTGAAGCAGAACTATATCATAGATTGTGTGCAAGTAGTGGATTAATGCTGAGTTACCTTCCTTAGTCTTAGAAGATGCAACTAGGTACACTTGTTCCTGTTACTTTGAAAAAACAAAAAAAACCCCCCTTATTTCTTAGTAGCCTGAAACCAAGCAGCAGATATTCGCAGTAAAACAAAAGTATTTCAGTGGCATTTGGTTTTTAATTTCCTCCCACATGTATTTCCTTCCTGTCCACTATGCAAGTTTGCTGAAGATGTAAATGTCTCCAAAACTTAAATACATTAGTTAAGATAATTGCACCTTGAGAAGACATTTGATTGTCTATACGCACACACACACCCACACACACACCCCCCAGGAGTCACACCTGCTGAGGTCTTTGCCACCAATATGGCAGGAATAGTTAGTCTGGGTTGTTGTATATGAACAAATAAATATTCACATTTCTCTGAGTTATGTATGTTGGTTGCAAGCTGATGCAGGTGTGGGTTTGCTGAGATAAACTGTGCGGTTGCATTCCCATGTCTGTTCTCTATTAAATGCTCAACTTATAGGT